TCAGTTGCATTAAGATTGATAACGTTCTGTCTTCTGGCAAAATCATATGGAGAAGTTTTTCACTTTCTGCCCCACGTTGTCAGATACTGTAGCTTTTCACACTTAGCTGATTGCCTGTGTTCTCTCAGTGAGCAAAAGGATTCCTGTATACATCTGCAGGGGCTTAATACACATATGGGTTGAACATATATTTCTAAGCACAAGTGAAACACGAACATATGAAGACTCCCCCGCTACTCTGACAACTATAACCCTATGCTTGTTGAAGAAAAACTAATAGAGGGAAATTAAATGATTAACACAAACTATTGAAGGATTTTGGAATCTGAGCAAGAACTGTCTGGCTTCTGAAACTGTTGATCTGGCTGCACCTGCTATTTGCATGAAAAATATAGCAGTTTAAAAATGAAGTGTTAAACCAAATCCTGAACATTGTCATGCAAATTCACACCCGCTAGGCATCTAAAATATGTTTATTGAATTGTAACTTGTATTGTGCTCTTGTATATTTAAGGAATAGGAAGTCTTGCTATTCATGCTGTGAATTCATATTTCAAAATATTTGCAGGAGCAGCTGCATATTTCCAGTGCCTCTCTGAACAAAATATTTCCTATCATCCAAGAAGTAATGCTTAAAGAATATGCATGAGGAGATGGGAGAGTGCTCTACCAAGTGTATTTTTAAAATACCAGACAGGTCTCTCCAGTGAAATCATTCTTGGTTAGCTGTGCTTGGCTGGAAGGGATTATTTTGTCTAGCATGAAAGAGAAAAGTATGAGCAGGACTTGAGACTGTTTCTTTTCATCCTCCTGTAGGAAAGCCCAGATTGCTGTTCCAAGCCAGTGCTGTTGCAGGCCCTCTGGCACACGTAGGATAGGCAGTGCAGTAAAAAATAATGGCTCAGGTTTACAGAGACAGAACAGCCTTTTTCTCTACTATTTTTCAGCCTCAGAGAAGATTTGCCCAGGCCGTGTGTCTGTATCAGCCAGGCAGCACTGCGCTGATCAGCGAAGATGACTCCCCCAGCTCCCCCGGCCAGCACTCGGATTTCCAGGTGCCGTTCAGTGTTGTGGCCGACACGGAGCATTCAGCCAACAGCGAAGGAAGCCACGAGACCGGAGACTCTGGGAGATTCTCTCATGAATCCAACGATGAGATCCACCTCTCCGCTGTGGCAGGCGACAGCCCTCCCACTGCTGCTCCTTTCGTGGGCAGCGCCTTGGGTACGAACACGATGCACCCTGCTCTGAGCAGCAGCCAGGAGCGTCCTCTGCCCTGTGCCGCCGAGCAGACTCCTACCTCATCTCTTCAGATGCAGCCTGTGGTGCACAACTGACCTCCCTGGGCGTCCTCGCAGTAAGGGGCTGTTCGAAGGACAATGAACAGGAAGCCAAAGTTTTGTGTGGAAAGCCTGACTAATCTAGCAGGTGATCCCATATTTCTGTTGAATGTTTTCCTTTTTTTTTTTTTTTTTTTAGCTTTTTATTTTGAAAACTCACTCATTTTGAATGTTCAGTGGTGAACAAATGTGAAAGGACAGTGAAGATTTCTGACTAGAGTTAAAAATGTGTCACTGGAGCAAAGGGAAGGCCGCTGGCCTTTTTGCTGACTATCTACCTCAGTTTGCCGAGAGGTGAACTCTGAATGATAACTGCTTTACCTCATTTCTGTTGTAGTTCGTCTCAGCTATGGAACTGATGATACTTCCTAGTAGTGTTGTTTTAGTTGGAATTTCTTTCTGCTGGTGTTGTGTGTAGAGTGTGTGTGTGTGTGTGTGTGTGTGCGTGTGCGCACAGCGATCAGGGAGTTGTATAGGTAGATGAACAAGATTGTTTAGCTGAAGCTCTGCCTTTAAAAAGAAGGAAACCTCAGAGTATAAAATGCAGTGATGGAATGTGACTGCCTCAAAGGAAGTTAAAAACTGGGAAGACGGGAGTTGGTGCTTTTAGATATACAGCCACACCAAATCTTTTCTACCTCTTGGCTTCTCATAGCCCCACTAAGCCTAGGACAGTGCCTTTCCCTCAAAACTTGTGCCAGCAACTGCTGGCAGGGTATATACTAAATCCTTAGGGCTCTGGAAACTTGTTGACTTCCCCCAAAGGATAGGACATTGCCTCCACTGAGAGTTAATGCTAAAAAGCATGGCAAAATGAAGAAATGTTGAGCATTTCCAGCCAGCTCGTCTCTGCCTGAGACTCCTGGAATAGGCAGCAAGGCTGAGTATTCCGCTCTCTCAGTACTTCTTGGCAACAGTGCCTTGAGTTAGAGATTATGAAATTACTGATTTGCCTTTTTAGTATTCATTAAGTTGCTTTGGAGTACGGAAGGATGCCTTAAAYGCTTCTTAGCTGTGCTGCAGTGAGTTGCAGGGTAAGCCTGTCATGGGTTTTCAGGCAGCCCGAGCGCGGGTCCCGCTCTGCCAGCCCCTGTCAGGACGTGGCGGCGCTCCTCGCCGTTGCCTTCCCTGCCTGCCCCTAGCCCGGCATTTTAGCTCAGGGAGTCACCTTGCCCACATGCCAACCCAAAACTCTGACTGGAAATAAAAAGCCAGAGCTTTAGTTGAAGAGTCTGTTGAAGGAGGTGAGTGTTGCTACCRCCTTGCACCCATACAATTCCTGTTTTATACTACCTCCCTTAAAAGTTATTCTAGTGTTTTTTTTCTTTTATTTTTTTTTTCCTGTACTCAGGGAACAGTTTGTTACTTTTGAGCTGCCTCACGGAAACGTGRAGCAAACTGACAGGGTATCTTGTTTTGTTTTTTTAGCAGGAGAGAAAGAGGAGGCTAGATTCATCTAATGTTATAAACTTGCCCATATCCATAGAGAGTCCTGTTCTCATCTCCTCCTCTTTCCCCATTTTGCTTAAAAAATATGAAATAAAAATATAAAAAGAAAGTTCAAAGCTTGATGTTGTGACGAAGCAACCGTAGGAAGTCCTGGCTCTATTTAGGTCTGTCAGAATTCCCACTGACTTAACTGGGGCCAGGACGTCACCGCTAAGGTAGGCAGGCTGACTTGTGTCGTTCCTTCTATCAAGGTGCTCAGAAGTCATCAATAAGCCCTACAGTTTGGTCTGTTTTATTTTGAAAAATCAGCCTGTAGTTCCTGCAGATCTCCAGCTTATAACCGTGTGCTGGTTCCAAACCCGACGGTCCATGTCCACCTCTTCATACTAGTGTTGATTCAGAGGCTTTTAAAATAATGTTGTACCAAAGAATTTCCTGTAGAAGAGGCATATTTTCCAAAAATGATTGAACTAGTTAAAAACTATAGGTTTTGAAGAGCTGAATACTTTTTATTGTATTAGTAGTTACTGACGCAAGACAGTAGGGCTCCTATTGATTGCAGTAGTGGATTGCATAGACGAGCYGTATGCTTCTACAGACTGAAACGACCCTGTTGTTGCAAGAGCCTTTAAAAAAAGCTATAAAAATACCAGCAGATCTCTCCAAAGACTTCCAAGTGTAATTCTTTTCTTCAGCATGTAGTTGATGAACAATACAGTATTAAATAAAATATTTTTGAACAGTTTTTAATCTACTTGCTGAAGAAAAAGAAAACCTTTTCACCAAAGATTTATTTTTGGTCTCATCGGGCAACATGTTTAGTGTACAGCACAGGACGGTTTCTAGTTAGGTAAAAGTGTGAATTAATTGAAATTAGATTAAGAATGTAACTGTAGCATGAAGTTTCACACTTCATCTTTCCAATTAGCCTCTTTTATTAGTTTCATTCAGGAAGAGCTGATGGTAACTGTTTACTTCTCCAAAGACTTGTTTGCTGTGAGTACTGAGAACTTGATTTATTGATTGATTAAACTGATTGGTAATTTTTTGCCCTACATTGCAGGCAAATATTCCAAATTATAAAACTTTTTTTTAAGRCAAGGCACACCTTGTAGTTTAATGTGTGAATAATTTGAATTACATGTAACATCAGTCTAATAGATTCTCTACCTTTGATAGTCAAGGATCAAAATATTCGATTTATTAAAGAACAGTACATCTGTCAATTAATGTTTTTTYCTTAAAGTACTTTCTATCAGCAAATAAAGAAAACCAAAGATATTTAAGGTTACCTCAGCATATAGGCAAGCTTAGTTAGACCTTAATTATTCTGTTTCTTTTTTTGATTTTTATGTTAACCAAATATAATATGTTTCTTCAGAACCCCGTTCACATTCATAACCTTCTCATTTCTTTCTCATAGTTATTTCTAGATGTATTTGCATTTTTTTTCCAGAACAAAAAATATGATCTAATCAAAGATCTCTGGCCTATTGTTAATTTTTCACAATATTTTGCAAGAAAGCCTCTTGTCATAGAGAAGAGCACCAATGTGAACAAAGCAATTTATGGGAACAATCTATAATTTGATATTGTCTCTCCTGAGCTCAGTAGCAGAATTCCTCATGATTGAAGCACTGCAAAATCAGGCTTAAAGTGTAGATGATGCAAATCATTGAGGTGAAAGCATCTAATAATAGGTATGATGTTAATGCATTAATTTTCTTAAAGTCATACCTGTTGCAGCCTAGGGAATCACAGGTTTCCCTGTATAAACTTAAATCATTCCATTTGTCTAGAAAGAGCTGACAGCAGAGCAGGCAAAATGGTCCAGGTTTTCCAGCAATTTTTCTTGGTTATGTCTGTGGTCACAGGGTCCTGGAGAAAGCTTTATCATTTTCTAATAATGAATTTTACTAAATATGCCCTGGAAGATGAACAGAAATATGGAATTGAGTGTTACACTATGTGAATTGATTTTGTTTAATTGTATTAAGAGCGGAAGAGCCATGGCTGGTGTAATGAGCGTATATGCAACCCCCGTATTTAAAAACGAGAGATGTGACTGTTGATGCGACTTGAAAAGCATAAAGACTTGCAGAGGAAACCTGGAAAGTGGCTTTCTAGGTTGTCTGTGTTTGCAACGAGGCCCCTGGTTGCCCTTCCATTCCAACAGCAACGCCTGCTCTGCAGGACCTGCAGCGATGCAAAATGCGCCGGCTGCGCAGGTACGTGTTCTACAGGGAACAGCATTCCCCTCTTTCAGCAGTTATCCAGGAACACTGGGAATGTCTATGCCACRCAGAACTGGGCTGTATCAGTAGATATTTTTCATAGCTCTGTTTTTATAAAAGAAGTTTGAAAAATCTACATATTGCTTAATAATTTTCCATATTGCACAATTTTCTGTCTAATTTATTGGATGTTAACAGAAAGGAGTGCTAAGATATTCCTAGGACTGTTTTTATTATATTTAATACTTCCCTACTTTGGTTTTGTCCCTTGCTTTAGACCAGGAGCTAAATCTTGTTTGCCCTRTTCAAATTAGGGTCCTTATCCTATTTCTTTTAAAGTCAGTGGGAGATTTCACTTTCATTTCAGTGATGAGATTCACACGGGATTCTGCTGATTTCATTTTGCATGATCTGGACAAAAAAAAAATCAGCTATTAGCTATTRTTTTTCTTCTAAAGATCTTAGCAAACAGGTTTTTGCAGAATAGCTGTTACCATGCAGCAGAAGTCCCTGCGTGCGGGCAGCCTCAGCCTGTGGCCGAGAATCAGTATTTCAAGTCAGTTTATCTCATTTTTTAGTGCAAGCTAACTCAACTCGAACTACTTTGCATTTGCTGCAGCTTGGTTCTGCACAAAAATAATTATGATGGACTGTCTGGGTCTCAGTAATAGGTTAATCTAAAGCAATTTTTGAGCCCTGAGCAAGAGCAGGGGCTTTTACTGCCTGTTAAAGGGTGAAGTTCTGACAGAGAAGGTTCCTTTCCTAGCAAGGGGGATGCTTTTCAGTTCTGTAGGACTCTGTATGTTTAGCCCAAAGCCTCTTTGAGACCAACAGGAAAGACAGCTGTGCAGGTGTAGCTGCGGTGGTGCTTCACAGAAGTCAATTTGCTGGATCTATTCTGTTAAAATTGAGAGCAGAATTTCACCCCATGTGTGCTAAGGGCACTTTTAAATTCCTGTARGGCACTGCCTCTTTTGTTCTGACCTGCTGGAACTGCTGCATTGCCAAYGCAGAGTAACTCCTAATGGTACAGATTAATTCCTGATGGAGACGGATTTGACTGTCCCCAAAAAATACTAAGCGCCTTTCTACACTTACAAATATACTTTTCATTAAAAAACATATTTTGGAGGCAGAGCTTAAAAGCACTATTCCTCAACCTGAGTCCAAAATCCAAATCACCTCATGTTAAACTAATCACTTTTTCTTAATATAACTATCTTAAAAAAATGCAGTTTGGGTGAAATTCTGCTCTCAATTCTGAAATAAATGAAGTTTAACTTTATTTCTGTGGAATTTCTCTAGATTTACTCTAAGACTTTGCTAAATTTACTCCAAGGGGACATAAGCTCACGATTAACGTTTTGCTGCATTGGGCCCTCTGGTTCCACTGTGGGTTGAGCTCATTATGGAGCTGTTCAGGCTCCCCACGGTTACATATACCTACATTGCATCTGCCTGGTGGGTTCTCAGTAAAGACTGAAAAGTATATGAAAAACTTATAAAAACGATGCTTTTGGTTGTTTGCCTTTTGTGTTTTAAGTTGTGAATGAATTGCCAGTGTAGGAGCCAGGTATGTATCTCATATTATGGTGGTCTGGATCCTTTCACTCCGTGTGCCATTTCCTTCTAAGGGCAGCAATGGCCAACTGGCTGATGGAGGATGGAGCTGAATTGTATTAATTTTATATTTGTCTCAGGGGATCAGCTCTGTGAATTCCATTGCATGAGGAAGGCTAATGTTTGCCCTGATTTGAATGTAACTTTTTAATGTCTTTTAAAAATATATTTTGTTTAATAATGTGGATTTGTTTTTCTTCTTTATAGCATTTTAGTGAATGTTATCTAGTGTGTTGGTTCTTTTTTCCCCCCTCCAGGGTTGTTTATATGCCACCCCAAGGTCATGCCAAAAATTAATAGAAGTTTAAATGCCAAATGTTTATGAAACTGCTGACTGAATACTGATTGATTGCACAGTTTAAATAAAAGTTTTCCTTAGTAAAAGTATGTCTTTAAATGAATTTTATTTTTGGTGTCTCTGACTAATAGCTCAAAACAAGGAAGCCTTAAGGAGAAAGTACCTGGCTTGCAGGATTAGTCTTTGAAAAAGTGCAGTTTTGCTGTGTTCAGCTTCCTTCTGAAACCCCGTATCTCTCTGGTCAAGTCATGCCCGAAGTTCACCCTCCATGCAACACTCAGGTAAAACTGGTTTGTGTCATTTCCAGGGGTGAGGATTAATTTGCAGATGCACCAGCTCGCTGTGGCAGCTGGCAGTGTGATTGGGATCAGCCGCGCGGCTCTGGGAAGGCAGCGTCAGCTCCCAAGGRAACATTTCCCTGGGGAACCGGCGCCTCTTACAAGTGCCCGTGCACAGTGGTTTCCTATACATAGCCCATCTCCAGGGATAAGAAGTGCAGGTCCCGTATGTGGCAGCTGCTAGGAGCTGCCTGCAGCCAGGGAATGAGCCTTCCCACACGGGTGCAGCTGCCGCTGCTGAATTTGGCTCCCTGGGTTCTGCACCGAAAACACGGTGTCTTTCTTACCTTTAAAATCTGAGAGGACAAAGGAAATCTGAAAAGCCTCATGCTGCTGCTTTATGAACCAGGGCTGCTCTTACCTGTAGAGCCAGTGTATAGGACAATTGTGTGCAATGGTAGCTTCCGTGGCATTTATCCCTGGCAGTATTACAGCACCAGCTGTAGTGTCTATTTGTAAACAAACTCAAACCCCAAATTTAGCTAGTGTGCGTGTATGTGAATAAAGGCACAAGGAAATACGGTTTTTCACAGGTAACTGAGAAAATGCAGCCCCTGTTGAAATAAATATTAGCAGTGCACTTATAAAAACGAATAAATGTTAAATATAATAAATGTGTTAAACTGAAAAAAAGGCATAATGACGCATATCTTAACAGCTGGGGAGCAATTAGCCTTGGACCATCCAGTGACATGAAACATCTACTCACGTAGCCCACCACAAATGCTGATCTTTACCTCTGTCTTTATCTAAGAACAGCAGCAACCACCTGCAGTTCCTGATTACGTTACTGCTGATTAGTACAGCTACATTTCTGCACTCCAGAATCTTCATTTTCATTAGCAATAAATAAATAATAAACCCACGTCTTTCAAGGAGTCATCACGGCAAAGAGCAGCTTCCAAGTGAAGCCTTGGTGTGTGACCTGGTGCGGTGGCCCCCGCGTGCTGCCTGCCACCAGACAGGCAACCTGCCCRCTCAGCTCCGTGGGCCGCTGTCATTGAATGTCCATGTTCACTCAAATGATCAAGTTGTTATTTCTTTGTTCAGTTTATCAATCAGAGGCATCAAGCTACTGCTTTCATTTAGCTGTTTTGTATTTGAGAACAAAACTTTAGAGTACAAAGACCAACTCTGCCAAACGTGGCAGGTCACTCAGGCCACAGCAAGGCAGGGGCAGCRAGGAGCAGGACTTGGCCTACCCGGGGCCAGACTCGGCCTGCCCCAGGCAGGGACTCTGCCTGCCCAGGGTAGGACTCGGCCTACCCGGGGCCACAGTAACACACAAGGACTAGAGCAGGGGGAACAGCCTCGTGCTAGGCCAGCGCAGCCGCATTGCTCATGGATGGACTCCTCCGCTTTGTCACTCTGTCCTACCCTTTCACTCAGCAGATAAAAGCACCATCTCCATCTAGAAGCGGAGTCACTGGGAATGGCTGTCTCTGTTGCACAGAGTACTAGGCCTTAATGGTGCTGCATGCCCCAAGGCCTAAACTGAATGCAAATATGACTAAAACCACCCTTGGTTCTTCTACAAATCTGGTGTTCTGGCAACTGCACATGTGAAATCTCCCTTGAACCTAAAGATAGGCTGTTAGCTGTATCTATTTCCCTTACTTTTATTCCTTATTTTTCTGAAATGTCGTCCCTTGTCGTCAGTTGGATGATAACACTTGTCATCGTATCTTAATACTAACAAGTCTTCGCACAGCGGTGAAGAGGATGGGATTTTAACACTCCTCCCGTGCCTGCACCCTAGCACGTCAGGTAAACAAAGCTCAGGCTTGACAAAAAGCGTCTCTAGTCTTGACTCTGGTGTTTGTGCCTGAAAGCTCAGACTAACTTTTCTTTAGCTTTATTCAAATGCCACAAATACTGTTACGGAGTAGGTTATTGCTTGTAGATTATAGTGTTTTACACCAGAACACACATAGAAAGACATGTTGAAAATGCAAATAATTCACCATYTAGCTGTATCTCACTAAAAAATGAAATGCACAGACACCCCAAGGCCAAAAGATCTGTTGTGTAGCAAGATCTGTTCTCTTGCTAGATCTCCAGCAAGAGTTATGGGGCTAGCAAAGGTTTGGGGRTCAGCTGCTCTGAGAGAGACTTGTGCCCCTTCTGTCATGGTAATGACAGCTATTTGGGACACTCAGTCTTGGTATGGCCTGGTTGAAGCTGTTTAAATTATCATTGTAGGGCCACGTGGCATGAACGTTTGGCTGCCAGAACCATTTGCGATTGGTGATGCTTTTCAGGCAGCGTTGCAGAGTTGCTGCATTTCCTCGGGATGTCCCTGGAGAGATTGCTCAAGCATCAACCAGAAGATGAACAAGGTTCCAGGCAGGTGCAGGGGATGTTACCTTCTCTGATCTTCTGCGGTTTTGAAGAAGGAAAGTGATTTTTGTGGGTCACTGAGAATATGTTTCCTATTATACTGCTGTGGGTGAAGTGTGAAAGCAATACCCAAAGCCCTGGATTATGCTTTACTTGGAAATAAATAGACTGGGAGCTCCCCAGAGGCCGTGTTAACAGAATGGTTTTGACTTTTCTTTTAGTTGCAAGTCAGTATAGTGAGGGMAAAAAAAAATAAAAAAGGAAAAAGAGATTTTTTTGTGAGCAAAGCAGCAGATTCCTGGCTATGCTGCTGGGCTGTGGCACCACAAAAAAGCAAAAAAAAGTGTTGCTTTCCCTACAGCCTGTAACACTATAGAGTTTGGTCTGCTGATCTAGGA